AGACCGCCTTCTGCCACAGATTACCTCCCACCGGCCGATACGCTCCCACAGAGAGGCCCTCCTCAGGGTGCCGTCAACCAGACAGTGTCGGCTGGCGACCCCCAGGGGGAGAGCCTTCTCTGTCGGAGCACCCACCCTCTGGAACGAGCTGCCCCCAGAGATCCGGGTGATTCCGGATCTCCCCTCCTTCCGCCGCGCCAAGACTTGGTTGTTTCAGCGGGCAGGACTGGCCTAGGGGTATTTTAAATTGGTTTTAACTAAATTTTAGTAGAAGCGGCCTATTTAAATATTTATTTTTAATCATTTTCTTAAATTTTGTATTTTGTATTGTATTAGTTGTTTTAAACTGGCTGTAACCCGCCCTGAGTCCTCCGGGAGAAGGGCGGGGTATAAATATAATAAAATTCAAAAGACGACCTTTTCCCACAGTGGCCCCTGCTCTATGAAACATCCTTCCTTCAGAGATTACAATGGCCTCAACCCTTGTTAGCCTTTCATAAGGCCTTAAAAACCTGGCTATGTTCCCGTGCCTGGGGTGCTGAATGTGTTAGAGGCCTCCCATTTCTTGGCTGTATTGCTAACTGGCCAAGTATCTTGTTCCTACATATATTTAAACTGGATGTTTTTAGTGTTTTTTATATTTTAAAATGTTTTTAGTATTTTCAATTGCAGTTGGCCAGAGTAATTGACTGAGATGGACAGCTACAGAAATTATTGAACGAATGAACAAACAAATGAACCAATGAATGAATGAAATGGATGAATGAATGAATGCAATGTTGGATTTACTCTAATCAACAGACAATGAAACTATATCAGAAAGTATATAATCTAAAGGGTTAAAATGATTTACCTTAATACATCCATCTCATCTTTCAGTGACTGAGCTTCTTCAGCCAGATTTGTTAATTCTTCATTTTGTTGCCGCAAGTCTGCAATTTCCTTTTCTAACTCTTCACAACGAATTCTATAATCATCCTTTGCTGCTTCTAATCTGAAATAAAACAGTACAATATATTACATAGGGAAAAGCACTTACAATCAAGATTTGCAGTTTTTTTCTCTTCTGTGTATCTACTTTTAAACATAAATAAATAACACTGAATAGTGTTTTGCCAATTAAGGGGAAAAAATCTCTGAGATACTCAGAAAACCTTCAAAAACAGCAAATCATAATTTTCATTCAGTCAAAATTTGCAGAAACTGTAACTTAATTCTTATTGGGTACATATATTCAGGCATAGACATGGTTTTATTAATGGGCGTGGGGACTACAGGTTGATTTAGAGTCAGTCAAGTGACCTGTGTGGTTGTATTTGTCACTGCCATGTTGTTGTTTTTTAATGCTCTATGTCATGTCATTGTCTGTGAGTTGAGTGGCCATATAAATCTACTTAATAAATAATACTACATACTAAAAAAAACATGCATATGCATAGAGCCTTTGAAAACTATTTGTTTTTCCTAAAGTAATGAAAGTATTCTGTGGCTTCAGGTCCAGCTACCAATTAGATCCTCTACCTAGGCCATACAGCAAATAATGAGAAATTAGACAGAAATATATCCAGGAAGTTAGAAGCAAGACATCAAGTAGCCTTTTAATTATGTATTTTTAAAGTCAGCAAAACAAACAGCATTAATGACCAATGCCACTTTTATGCAAAGCTGGCATAAAAGCGGCAAATTTATTGGCTTTTTATTTTTAGGATTATTGGCAACTGTAAAAGGTTTTACAGTTCCTGATATAAATCACCATCAAAATACACATTTTATTTCAGCTGTTATTGCTTTACATGGCAAGTTTCTTCTTTAATCCTTAGCATGCCAGCAATACAGGTTTAATTTACACCTCATCAGTCACTGACCCCAAAAGTGTTACAAATAGACACAGACACACATAATCATTTAGCAATAAGAAGACTTTTTAGTATTTTATTCATAAAGTACCTTTAGAATTTTACTATTTTTAATATTTAAATATTGTTGGTTGGTGACCACAA